ACCCAGCAGGAGAAGAGAAATAATAAAGATCAGAGCAGAAATCAATGAAATAGAAACCAAAAGAACAGTAGAACAGGTCAATGAAACTAGGAGCTCATTCATTGAAAGAATTAATAAGATTGATAAACCCATGGCCAGACTTATCCAAAAGAAAAGAGAAATGACCCAAATAAATAAAATCATGAATAAAGAGGAGAGATCACAACCAACACCAAAGAAATACAATTATAAGGACATATTATGAGCAAGTATATAGCAGCAAATTAGATAATCTGGAAGAAATGGATGCATTCCTAGAGGTGTATAAACTACCAAAACTGAACCAAGAAGAAACAGAAAACCTGAGCAGACCTATAACCACTAAGGAAATTGAAGCAGTCATCAAAAATCTCCCAACAAAGAAAAACCCAGGGCCAGATGTCTTCCCAGGGGAATTCTACCAAACATTTAAAGAAGAATTAACACCTATTCTTCTGAAACTGTTCCAAAAAATAGAAATGGAAGGAAAACTTCCAAACTCATTTTAAGAGGCCACCATTACCTTGATCCCAAAACCAGACAAAGACCCCATCAAAAAGGAGAATTACAGACCAATATGCTTGATGAACATGGATGCAAAAATTCTCACCAAAATACTAGCCAATAGGATCCAACAGTACATTAAAAGGATTATTCACCAGTACCAAGTGGGATTTATTCCTGGATTGCAAGTGTGGTTCAACATCCACAAATCAATCAATGTGATACAATACATTAAGAAAAGAAAGAAGAAGAACCATATGATCCTCTCAATAGATGCAGAAAAAAAGCATTTGACAAAGTACAGCATCTTTTCTTGATCAAAACTCTTCAGAGTATAGGGATAGAGGGTACATACCTCAATATCATAATAGCCATCTATGAAAAATCCACAGCAAATATCATTCTCAATGGGGAAAAACTGAGAGCTTTCCCCCTAAGGTCAGGAACACGGCAGGGATGTCCACTATCACCACTGCTATTCAACATAGTATTAGAAGTCCTAGCCACAGCAATCAGACAACAAAAAGAAATAAAAGTCTTCTGAATCAGCAATGAAGAAGTCAAACTCTCACTCTTTGCAGATGATATGATACTTTATGTGGAAAACCCCAAAGACTCAAGCCCAAAATTGCTAGAAGTCATACAGGAATTCAGTCAAGTGGCAGGCTATAAAATCAATGCACAGAAATCAGTGACATTCCTATACACCAACAACAAGACAGAAGAACGAGAAATTAAGGAGTCGATCCCATTTACAATTGCACCCAAAACCATAAGATACCTAGGGATGAATCTAACCAAAGAGGCAAAGAATCTGTACTCAGATAACTATAAAATACTCATGAAAGAAATTGAGGAAGACACAAAGAAATGG